TTTCGTTTCTATCTTCTTCTCTCTCTCTCTCTCTCTCTCTCTCACTCTCTCTCTCTCTCTCTTTCGCTCTCTCTCATTCTCTCTTTCTCGCTCTTTCATTACGTATCGCTTTCTCTCTCTCTCTTTCTCTCTCATTTTTTTTTATTTCGTTTTCTTCTATATTATTTATTATGTTTTTTTTTTTTGTGTTATTTTTAATCACGTTTTTTTTTTCTTCTTTTCGATTCTGCTTTTTTGTTCTTGTTGATTAGATTAGTGCCCTCCGTTCACTTACGTCTACGGTTGTTTCCCATTAAAGCTGTAAACGTTTTATTATAAAGACAATTCGTAACAGTCGGACAGATTTCACGTTCGATCGTGATCCCTTTGAAAATCAACGAGTGTTTTCGCGTTTTTTTTTTTTCCTTTTTTAAAATTATTTTTTTTTTTTTTTAATACTTTTGTCCTTACGAACAGACCGTCAAAACTTACTGTCTCTTAATATGGTCAATGTGTATTATTGTTTGTAGTTTGCTTTTAATCTAATTTGTTGTTTTTGCATCGCGAAATTTTCTCGATCTCGAGCACCGTTCTTTTCGATCTTTTTCTTTTTTTTTTTTTTTTTTTCCTCATTGATCCGAATCGCGTCTAATTTCGCGTGAAATTGAAAGAAAGGAGGCGCGCAGTTTTTCGTCTTGTTTTTTCTTTTTTCTATAAATTTTTCGTTCGTTCGTTCGTTTGTTTCGTTTTGTTTTTTTTTTTTTGTTTTTTTTTTTTGCATTGTTTTTTGCTCAATGGATATAATATTCCACACACGCCTTTGAAGAAAGTGTCACTGAGGACGATGAATGTATTGCACTGCGTTTATCCTGGGTGATAATTAATTTTTTTTTTTTTTCTATGAACACTTATACATACAACGTTATAATATCATAATGGTAAAATCTGGTATTATAATAATTAATACGGAATCATTGCGACAACTGCGAGTGTAGAAAGTCGATTCCCTCGAATGCGTCGAGGATCATCTACACTGGTAATTATCGATCACACAGAGTGGAATCATTTCTCGAAACTAAACACCATTACAAAAAAAAAAAAAAAAAAAAAAAAGAAAAGAAATTCCACTAGTTTATGCAAATAAGATTTTTTTCTAAAAAAAAAAAGATACTTATGCAGTAAAAAATCAAACGAATTAATTAGTTTTTCTTTGATTCTCTTTTTAAATTAATAAAAAAAAAATGAAGGTTACTCATTATATTTCGGAGAAATAATTTAGAGATTTAATTATCAAATAATAATACGAATTGGTGTCAAGTTTTTGAAAATAATTCTACACAAGTGTGTTGCTCTATTTCGTCTCTCCGCGAAAAATTCCCCTTATTTTAATACTGTCGATGAATAAACTTTCATTCAATTCCCTATAGAAATCCCTGTCCTTTCGATAGAAAAAGGATAAATGTCTTTTTGGCGATTTTAACTTACGGGAACGCGTCTGTTCGAGATCGATCGTTTTAGAAACCGCGTCTAAATATAATTATGTACGATTATTAATCGCGAATTTTGTACCTCGAGGGTAATGGAATGGGCAAAAATTCGACGATCCTCGTCTACGTGATCGATAAATCACCGACAACCTTCCATCTTCTTCCCTAAAAATCATTCACCGATTTTATTAAATCGAACGTTCAGCCTCGACCTTCAACTATTAAAATATTAAAATTGTATCGAAGAGAGATGAAAAGGAAGGAAAAAAGAAGAGTACGGAAAAGAGAAAAGTAGCGAGGAAATAATAAAAAAAAAAAAAAGTAAGCTTGGAATGTCGTAGACGAGAAAAGGAAGTCTTTTATTCCGCGCCAAAGCCCTCGTACCCGGATGGAATGTAATCTTCGATATTAAGAGATCATCGAGATCTAATAAGCACCTCCCTCTTCCTTAAAAATCGTCTTCTCCCCCTCTACTTCCTTTCGAAACTAAAATCTGCCTTAAACTTTACCACTAATTTCGCGTCGAACCATCCTCTGTTACCCGCTTCCAACTCGCTATTTTTCACAATGTGCGCTCTTGTGCGATGATCGATGGAACTCGCGGAAACACGCGATCGATTACGATATCGCGGTCAAACCTTTGATTGTCGTCTGGTTTTTTTTTCCTTTTTTTTCGTTTTTTTTTTCTTTTTTTTTTTTCCTTTTCTTTTCTTTAAAATTCTATCCACGCACAGAGTGTATGTCGATAAGAGATTCGAGATTGATTTTCAGATATTAATTCAGCACGCGAAAATATTAATTTTATACTATTTCATTTCATTTCTTTTTAACGCTGAATTTATCTTTATTAAATTCACTTAACGAATTCACATCGCGCGATATATATTCTTTTGTACGATATCTCAACGCTGATTTTCTTATTTCGGATGGAGGATGTATTGAGAGGCGTATAATACTAGCGGGATCCAAGACGCGATCAAGAGGGTTGACCCGTTCCGGAGTAACGTGCATTCAAGATCTTTGCTTCTTCGTACAGAGCTCGTACGACGATTATCTTCTCTCTCGTTCCCACTATTCTTTAAATAATTTATATATCGCGTTTCCGGTATGAGCAATTGATTTACCGACAGTCTTTCCGTCTCTCGATTTACATTTAAACGCACTGAAGTATTATACGTGAAAAGGAATTGTTCTATCTTCCCCCCTGTTCAACCAAGTATTATATCTCCGGCAAAATATAAATTATTTAAACACACATGGATCACGAGACTCGACCAGTTTCCATCTATAATCGACCAAGTCGTTTTTCCTCAATACCGTGACAATTTTTCGAAAGCAAGAAAGAAGAAACGACCAAGGATAATAATACGACAGAAATGACAAACGGAATGATCCGTCAAAAGATTCTTTGAGCGTTCAAATTTCGTTATTCTACTTTTTTGGAAAAGTTCAAGAAAAGGGACTCGATTTATTTATTTATTTTTTTTTTTTTTTTGAATACCACTTCCAAAGCAAGTATTTGTCGAGAAAGCAAACTGACGAAGAAAAGGGAACGGAAGAACACGACCAAACTTATTTCGTTCGTCAGTAAGGTAAACCTTTCTGAAAAAAAGGGTTCGTGTCTGTTCACGGAACACAGACGATTGAACGCATACTTAGATAACATCATTCTGTGATCCATCTCATATTCGTTATGTATATATATATATATATATATTTATATATATGACCGTGCGAACTTTGTGTATTTTGTTAAAAAATGCGAAAAGCGGCGGTAGCTTTTCGAAGAACATCTCGTTTACGCGTCGACCACTAGAAGAAGAAGAAAGTGTGCAAGGAGACAAAACGGAAACGAAACGGAAGAAGCCCCCACGAAGCACCGTGAAACTCACTTTGCGCGTGTCCCGAAATAATATAAATCAAAATTTCCGGGACACCCGTTGCAACAGTTCGTTTCTTTCTTTTTTTTTTTGTATTTTACTTTTTTTTTTTTTTTTTTTTTTTTTTTTTTTTTTAACACTGAGCCGATCCGCTTGACCAACCCAGAAAAATTATCCGATCATCCCTAATAAATATCCGCGCTCGGTTTTCGATCCATTTACGTTTCTTCCCTTTTTTTCCCTCCCTATTTTTACGCTATTTAATTAATGTTTTCATTTCGCTTCGCTTTTTCCTTCCTCGTTTAAAGTTTGAATTAATTACATATACTGTATATCATCTTGATGCTTGTGTGTATGTGTATGCGTGTTTTTCTTAATTGTGTATTTTGTCACGTTATTTTTTTTCTTTTTTTCTTCTTTTTTTCTCATCCATCCATTCTTTCCCCTTTCTCTCGTTACCATTCATAAATCATTCGCATTCGATCCGATTCCGATTCATCCCTTTTGTTTTTTTTTTTCCGCACGCGCACATTTTCCTGGATTTTTGTTTGTTCGTTTGTTTGTTTGTTTGTTTGTTTGCTTGTTGTTCTGTGGTAATTGTTTTGTTGTTGTTTTGTTGTTTCATTTTTTTTAGTATCACTATAGAGTTATCG